AGCTACGGCCTGGACCCCATGTTGGACCCCACAGCCAGGACTAAGAAGCCTGGATGATACTGGACAGGAATGTAGCATGATGTCTTAGCTTGAGCTGCTATAACAAAATCCCTTACTGCTGCCTGGGTGGCTTAGTTATTGCTCAGTTTTGGAGGCTGGAAATTCTAAGGTCAAGATGCCAGCAGACTCTGGTGAGGGCTCACCCTCTGCTTCATAGATGGTGGCTTCTTGCTGTGTCCTCACATGGCAAAGGGGCAAGGAAGCTCTCTTGAGCCTCTTTTGTAAGGGATCTGACCCCATTCATGAGGATGGAGTCCTTGTGACCTAATTTCCCAAACGCCCCACCTCTCATTCCCATCACACTGGGTGTTAGCCTCCACCTGGCAATTTTAGGGATATGCAGACATTCAGACCAGAGCAAATGGGGGTGTCCAGTAATAATACAATGAGAACCACGCATTAAAACATTTAAAAGAAGCAGATGAAATTAATTTTAGTAGTATATTTTATTTAACCCAATGTATGCAGAGTATTATTCTAACATGTAATCAACATAAAAAGTTACTGATATATTTTGTCCCTTTTTTCTATACAGAGTCTTTGCAATCTGATGTGTATTTTACCCCAAGAGCAGGTTTCCACTGGGCCTGACCCCATTTTGCATGCTCGGAAAGCCACAGTGACTATGGCTCCCATGTTGAACAGTGCAGGTCTAGATCCTGGGTGCTCTGCAGATTCCAGACTAGAACAGAAGGAATTAGGTCCGATCTTAGAATTTAGTGTTTGCTCTTCTCTCTCTAATGACTGCTCTGGAAAGCTGTGTATATCAGCAGTTCTGTGGTTCAAATTACCGTCAAGGTGGTCAAGAGGGAATTCTCACGTTTGCTTTCTTCCTTGCCCATTTCCTGGGCGTAGGCAGTTGTTCTGGGCCCACAGGTGCTGGGAGGAGCCACATTCCTGGTCCTCACCCTCTTGACAGGATTCCAGCATGTGGCTGTGTTGCTCTCTAGACCCTCATCCACGTGGGAGGCCCCGTCCCCTGAGGAAAACGAAATGGCCTCTCATGTTGCACGGGTCTGGGTTTGAACCCTAGAACCTCCAAGGGAGGAGCCTCTAGGGCTTTGGCGAGCTGCCTCACCATCAGCCATGCTGGTTCCATGATGCTGTGAGAACCAGCCCTTGGGAACCCGGGGCCATGCCCTACCCACTGTTGTGTATTCCCACCTCGTCCCTGTAGTTCCCAGGCTGGCTGCCATCAAGGTGTCGCCATCCGGCACCATCTGCATTCTTAGTGTTTTCCTTGGTTTTGAGGACATGGGCCCAGCACCCCCACTGTAGGATGACTAAAGGACACAATCATGTTCCTCTAAGGACCCACTGCCCTACTCCTAAGTTGTGCTCATTCTGATTGCCTTGGGTCCTAAACTGCAGGTCCCTGTCATTGGGCCTTGAGCAGGCCATGCTATTCCCTTGTTCCCCAGGTCCCATGAAGGAGGCTTTTACTCATGTGAGCCTTTTCTGCTATGTTTCAGATTGAGCCGGACCCTGAGGCTGGGAGTGAGCAAGAGGTATTTGCTGCTGTGGAAGGGCCCAGTGCCGAGGAGATGCCCTCAGACACAGAATCTGCAGACGTCCTGGAGACACCGCTTGACGCCCACCAGGGGCTTCTGGGGATGGACCCCCCGGGTGACATGGTGGGCTTCGTGGCGGCTGAGAGCACTGAGGACCTTAAGGCCCTGAGCAGTGAGGAGGAAGAAGAAATGGGGGGTGCCGCCCAGGAGCCTGAAAGCCTTCTGCCACCCTCCGTGCTGGACCAGGCCAGTGTCATTGCGGAGCGGTTTGTTAGCAGCTTCTCTCGGCGGAGCAGCGTGGCACAGGAGGACGGCAAGTCCAGTGGCTTTGGGAGCCCACGGCTGGTCAGCCGGAGCAGCAGCGTGCTCAGCCTGGAGGGCAGTGAGAAGGGCCTGGCGCGGCGTGGCAGTGCCACAGACTCCCTCAGCTGTCAGCTCTCCCCAGAAGTGGACATCAGTGTGGGGGGGCGCACAGAGGACAGCCTTTCTGTCAATGGGATGGAGTCCCCAAGCCCAGGCTGCCCAGTGGAGCCCGACTGGTCTTCCTGCAAGAAGAAGGAATCAGCGCTCTCCACCCGAGACCGGCTGTTGCTAGACAAGATTAAGAGCTATTATGAAAATGCAGAACACCACGATGCGGGCTTCAGTGTCCGTCGCCGGGAGAGCCTCTCCTACATCCCCAAAGGACTGGTAAGAAACTCCGTCTCCAGATTCAACAGCCTTCCTCGGCCAGACCCAGAGCCGGTACCTCCAGTGGGGCGCAAGAGACAGGTGGGCTCCCGGCCGACTTCGTGG